AACTGTCCCTCTGGGATGGCACTGGCATTAAGCACCTTGTATCTGTGAAAAGAGGAAGATTAGGCTATTTTTTCCCAACCAACTCACAGTAGCCACTAAACCCAGCCCGCTCATATATAGCTATTTTTGACAACAGACCGAATGGACCTATGAATGGACCAACAACATTTTAATGATGCTGAGAAGTGCAGTGCTCTTACCTCTGTTTGAAGTCAGCATAGAGGACTCTGCTGGGGAACCCTTTCCTGCAAATCCTGATCCCTTCCAACACGCCGTTACAGCGCAGCTGGTGCAGCACCAGCTCGTGCTCCATGGCACCTGAGCAAGGCAGAGCAGAGCACAAAGGAATGGCACAGATTCCAGTGTGCAGGGGAATCACAGAATCACAGAATATGCCAAATTGGAAGGGACCCTCAAGGATTATTGAGTCCAACCCTTAGCCCTGCACAGGCCCATCCCCAAGAGTCACCCCCTGTGCCCCAGAGGATCAGCCAAACCCTCCTGGAGCTCTGGCAGCCTTGGGGCTGTGCCCACTGCCCTGGGGAGCCTGGGCAGTGCCCAAGCAGCCTCTGGGGGAAGAACCTTTGCCTGAGATCCAACCTGACCCTGCCCTGATACAGCTCCAGGCCATTCCCTGGCTGCTGTTCCTGGTCCCCCCAGAGCAGAGCTCAGGGCCTGCCCCTCCTCTGCCCCTGCCCAGGAAGGTGGAACTGCAGTGAGGTCTCCCCTCAATCTCCTCTTCTCCAGGTGAACATACCAAATGCCCTCAGTGTCCTCACACACCTTCAGATCAAGGCCCTTCCCCATCCTCCTTCCCTCCTTTGGACACTCTCTAATGGCTCAATCTCTCCCTTCCATTGTGTCCCCCCAAACTGCCCCAATGTTGAGGTGAGGCCGCCCCAGGGCAGAGCAGAGCAGGACAATCCCCTCCCTGGCCCGGCCGGTGATGCTGGGCCTGATGCCCCCAGGACAGGGATGTCCCTCCTGGCTGCCAGGGCACTGCTGACTCAGGGACAACTGGCACCCATCAGGACCCCCAGGGCCCTTTCCCAGCACTGCTTTCCAGCATCTCATTCCCCAGTCTGTCCATTCATCCTAGGGGCAGAATCTGGCACTTCCCCTTGTTCCCAGCCCTGTGATCTGTCGAGGTCTCTCTGCAGGGCCTCCCTGCCTTTAAGGGACTCAACAGCTCCTCCCACTTTTGGGTCATCTGCAAATGTGCTAAGTATCCCTTCCAGTCCTGTGTCATTCATGAAGATGTTGGAGAGCACAGGGCCCAAGATGGAGCCCTGTGGAACCCCCCCTAGTGACAGGTCCCCAGTCTGATGTCACCCCAGTCCTTGTCACCCTCTGTGCTCGACCCATGAGCCAGTTGCTCCTCAACCACATGATGTGTTTATCCAGCTGTGGGCTGGACAGTTTGTCCAGAAGGAATGGATGTATCAGAGCAAACTCTCTTCCTACTTGAGCCATCTCACCAGGTGTTTTCGTTTCATTTGGAATGATGCAGCGCACAAAATGGGGGTGAGTGCTCCGCAAATTGGTCATCAGCTTGTTTAAGTTCTCCTAGAGGAAGCAGGTAGGAATGTGAGTTTCCTATGTCCAGTGTTTGAGGCATCAAGCCCAGGTAATGACTTCACAATGTCTCAAGTTGGGTTTCAGAACACTTAGATAAAGCCAGAGAAACCAAATATTTCTTCTATTTGAAGATACTGAACACCATTTTTAAAGACTGAAATACTTCAATACTTCTGTGTTGCTATTGGGCCAGTGAAAATAAATATAAATTTCACACATTCACAAAGAGTAATTGACTTCTAGATTTCTCACATTCTGCCTTCAAAAGTCAGGCTACTTAAGTTTTTAAAAATGGGGGTTTATTCCAATAAGATAAATATCCACTTGGAAATTACTTTCAATTCCTCAACAGAAATGCAGGAATACTCATATTATGGTTATAGTCTGACCCAAAGACCTAAAAATACAAAGATCTCAATGAAAGCTGCTCAAAGAAAAAAAGGAAATACACGCAGATTATTAGATTTTCATGATTTTGAAGACTGAATGCTTATTTTTGGACATGACAAATTAGCAATATTAAAATTGATCCTGGGAAACCTGATGTGGAATTTCTAAAGACATTTAGCACTACTATAGTAATGTAAAATAGTCCTTTCAAATTTAATATTAGCACACGCCCTTCCTTCCCATTTCAGAGGTAACAGGTGCAGTACTGTACCCGGAAAAGAGCTGAGACAGTCTGGAAAGAAGAACCCTTTTTCTTGCCACCCTTCTTTCCACCACCAGCCTCTGCAAATTAAAGGGAAAAAAATTAAATTGAACACAAAACAATTTTGAATGTTTAGTATTTATGGCTTCAATTCTGTGTCAACATCGTCCCACGCTGAAAATATAATTTTCACTGAACTGACCTGCATCTGCTCCACCATAGTTGGCAAAGAGTAAGGCCAAGGTCTTCACAGATGATTTCTGGTACAGCCCAATGACAGTTTCATTCAGGGGGTCCTTGTTCTTCTCCAGCCACCCAGAGATGTTGTAGTCCACTGTGCCAGCGTAGTGCACCAGGGAGAAGTGGGCCTCAGCCTTGCCTTTGCCAGGCTTGGGCTTCTGGAAGTTGCTGGACTTGCCCAGGTGCTGGTCATAGAGCTTGTTCTTGAAGGAGGTGTCAGTTGCCTTGGGGAACATGCACTCCTCTTCCAGGATGGAGAAGATGCCCATGGGCTGGGAGAGATTATAATAGGTACGAGGGAGAAACAGGTTAGAAAAGAGACATATTTTGGTTGGAAAGTTGCTAGAGCCAGAAAAGAAAGCTGTTCCCACACATTTCATGACAATAAGTCAGAGAAAATTAACCAAGGTTTATCTTTTTTCAGTGTTTTTGTTTCATTTGAACTTATGGAAATACTGTCCTCTCCATAAAACCTACTAACTGATAGGTGCTATAGAACATGACTGCCTTTTATATTACTTCTTTTTGTAATCTAGCAGTGAATTCTCTCACCAAAAGTCTTGATATCTGAGTATGATCTCCAAAAACACTTCCACCCTGTTGCCACAGGGTATATACTTGAAGAAGCCAAAATATTCTCATGTGCTTCTTAATTGCATCTCTTGGCAAGTATAGAAGATCCAACTTATTCAACACAAAGCATACCTTTTCAATGAGCTCAATGCAGGCAGCCAGGTCCATCCCAAAGTCAATGAATGTCCATTCAATTCCTTCCTTCTTGTACTCCTCCTGCTCCAGCACGAACATGTGGTGGTTGAAGAACTGTTGCAGTTTCTCATTGGTGAAGTTGATGCACAACTGCTCAAAGCTGTTGAACTGCCAGATATAAAGACATACAATGCTTTCAAGGATCAGCAATAATAGCAAGGTGTTTTCTCGTACAATCCTAATTCACTAGGGTTGATACTATAAATACAAGTCATCTTCCTTTGTAGATTTCCTGTGCTATATCTCTAGGATAGGCTTTGTATTTAAAAAAGAGAGGTTTCAAATTTAGAGCAATTGAAAGATTAGTTTTCAATCTTTTTTTCTTTTCAGGATTAAAAATGGTGATTCCAACAAGCCCTACAAATAAATGTAGGAACATACTGCCTTCTATTAAACGTCTCAAAAGTTTCAATTGTTTTCCATGGAAATGCTAAAAAACTGTGTTCTTTACATCAAAGATCTCGAAGCCAGCAATGTCCAGCACACCAATGAAGTACTGCCTGGGCTGCTTCGTGTCCAGCTGTTGGTTGATACGAACAACCATCCACAGGAACATCTTCTCATAGACAGCCTTTGCCAGGGCACCCACTGAATTGTTCACCTAAAGCATAGAGAAAGGTTTGTAGGTTACTACACACAGCAGAGGAGAAACAACACCAACCATCAAAGCATTTTCCAGATTATCCTGTTTTTCCTACCTGCTGGACAGTTTGGCCCTTGGTCACGTATTCATTCCCCACCTTGACTCGGGGGTAGCAGAGGGCCTTGAGCAGGTCTGCTGAGTTCAGGCCCATCAGGTAGGCAGCCTTGTCAGCAACTGAACACCAGAAAAGAGAAAACAGTAAATATTCAACAATTCCAAAAATTTGGTCCTTGAGGACTGTTCCAAAAGTATTCTCTGCACAACAATATCTGTCAAAGCACAAAGCTGATTTCTCTCCTGTCTGCAGGATTCAGAGTCTGCAACTCTTTCTGAGCTTAATTTTCTACAATTGCTCTTCAAGAGAGCTCATTGCTTTTATCCTTTTTCAGATGTAACTATGGGTCTTCATGTGCACTTTCTAGTTGTATAGCAAGAGGATTCATCACTCAGAGAGATGGAGGCATGAGCAGTCCTTCCTGCTGTGACAGAGACTAATCAAGTAAACATCTCACATTGGAGTTCACTCCAGTAGGTAAGAGTGAAGAGGAGCAGTTTCCCATCCTGGTAGGGCTGAACCATTTCACTACTCCACACTACAGCAGAGATTGCAAGATATATTTCAACTTAAGTATGACTAACAATGGTATAGGAATTGACATCCATGGCTCCAGTTTCCTGGCAGGGTACACCAGATCTCTTATTTATGAAGTACAGGTACCATTAGATGAGATATGTCTCAACTGTCATCTAGTCATGGAACAACTACTCTTCTTTTTAGTTTACACATTTGCATATTTAAAGCCTGAAATCTACCTAAGTCCTTCTTGTGACAAAGAATATCTCTTTTGGAAAGTTTGCTGATTCCGCTGATACCTTCAGTGCCATCAGGCTCTGCCTGCTCCTCACGCTGCTTCTGCTTGAACTTCAGGTTCCCGTAGTGCATGACAGCCCCTGTCAGCTTGTAGATGGCTGTTTTCTCATCAGCAGAGAAGCCCAGGATGTCAATGGCACTCTAGCAACAGAAAAATAAATGTACATGTACCAGGGCACCAATCCACCATATGACCTGTTTGATAAAGTTACTCACATCTGTGGCCATCAGCTCCTCCTGGTCGTCAATGCTGGGAACAGTGATCTCACCTTGACTCACAAAGTGGAAATCGTAAGGGTTGGTTGTGATGAGGAGCATGTCTGAAAGAAATAGAAGGGAAAAAAGAAGATTACTATAGCTTTCCAGATGACACAATGAACTATTTCTCAGTAATCTTCCTTCAAATAAAGTTAGTGATCTTCCTACCAATTAGCTCTGGCTTCTTGTTGGACATGATCTGATAAAAGATGTGGTAGCTTCTTTCCGCCTTGAGCTGGAAAGTGACTCTGGACTTCTCCAGCAAATCTGTCAAGGATGGCAGGACAGAGTTAAGCAGAAGAACTGGGCAGGAGCGGGGGCTTAGAAGGAATGGGAGCAGTCCAGGAGAATCTCTTACAAGTTTCAATGTCAGCAGAAGCCAGTTTGCCTGTGGCCCCAAAGTGGATTCTGATGAATTTGCCCTATTAAGGAGAAGCAGCAGCATTTCAGCTCCGATACATTTCATTGCCATGTCCTCATGTGAGAATACCACTATCCCATCACTGTTGTTATTACAAGAAGGGATTTTTGTGTAAGCTCGAAACAACTCATCAACTCACAAAGCGCGAGGAGTTGTCGTTCCTCACGGTCTTGGCATTTCCAAAGGCCTCCAGCAGAGGGTTGGCGCTGATGATTTGATCCTCAAGCGTTCCCTGCAGGGGGAAAATTATTCACGGACTGTGTTGATTTGACAGGGCAATGACGGCTCAAGTGTCCAGTCTGTTCTTCCTGACTCACCTGCATTTTGCCTGATGTCTGCTCCTCCTTCTTCTTGTCCCCACTGGCTGCAATTGTTGCAAAGTACTGGATGACACGCTTTGTGTTCACAGTCTTCCCGGCACCGGATTCTCCGCTGTCAGAGCAAGGAGAGAAGCAGAGAGCGTGTGGTCAGGCAGGAGGGGCCCTGGCCCTGGGCAGCCCCTCAGGGACCCGAGCAGGGGGTGTACGTACGTGATCAGGATGGACTGGTTCTCCCGATCTGGGGAAAGACAGAGATAAGAAACCTTTTTCTAGTATTTATGAATAACAAAAAATTTGAGAACTAGGAGAAAAATAAGAACTGAAGCTTCCAGAGAATCCAAGAACAGAAAAAGTAAAAGGACCTGGGAATTCTAATGGGTACTTTTGATTTTCCCAGCACTACTTCAGCTATTAGCAACTGGTTCAGTAAAGACATCACTTCAGAGAAGCTTTTGTAGTCTTATGCCTTTCCTGATGTTGTCTTTTCATCAAGCCACTTCTGTCTTATTAGTCAAGTAAATGTAATGAAAACATAGAGGTTATACTTTGATAGTATGTAAGTTCTTCTGAACCTAAAAGTTTCCTGAATAATCTTGCGGAAATTTGGAGGCATCATTAATGACAGAAATATATGACCAAGCTCTTTCACTCTTTTTCACCTCCTCTTTATAATCTCTATAAATACAGAAATTTTGCAGTCTTGAGATCATCCATTGATAACCTTTATTTCTGATTTTTCTATTCTGAATGTATTTCCCAGTTTCTAAGAAAAGGAGAAGTTCTAAATTCCCCACACCTTTGATTTCAATGCACATATAGGGAAGAGAAAAGAAGAAGTGGAAGGAAGAGGAAAGTGCAGAAAGAAACTTTTTGAAGTCATTCAATTTAAATGCTAAAAGCTTTATTTTTTTCCTTGACATCATTTTCTGAGGTTTACTTTTCACTATTGCAGTTGATTTTTAGTTGCAGTCACAGATCAGTGTAGGTGTTCCAGATATTGTTAAAGGCTGTATGTACTTTAGACATCTTTTACATAATGCAAGCCATTTGCATAATAATCAAGTCAGGCTTATGTACCTGTTCAAGGCAGAGATACTCTGTTTTACTTGTTAGAATGGATGCTTGAAAATTTAAATTGACTTAATGCACATCATTTATAGGGGCCATGTCATTTAGCTGTACTCTGTAGTCTCTTTCTGAAACTAATTTAGTGGTTAAGATACATAAATCTATTCATATATGTAAGATTCCATTACAGTCAGTGAAGTCTATATCACAAAATAGGTGGTTTTTCCAGTGAATTTAGTCCCTCTAAATTATGTCCAGGTCTTTAGTGATTCTAATGGGAATACAGACACTCAGCTCACACAGACCATTAAAGCTCAGTGCATTAATCTTCCATTAATTTCCCACACACAGTTTTTTTAGGTGGGGCACCATCTTTTTAGAGAATGCCCTACATTTCCCTCTACAGAGAGATGATTGCAAGAGCAGCTCAAAGGAAATCAAGCACTCACCAGTCAGCATGAACTGATAGGCGTTGTCAGAGATGGAGAAGATGTGTGGAGGGGCCTCCTGGCGCTTCTTGCCTCGGTAGGCCAACACCACCTCCGGGTTGTACACGGGCAGCCACTTGTAGGGGTTGACAGTGACGCAGAAGAGACCCGAGTAGGTCTGCGAGGAAGGGACACAGCACGTTGGCTTCCCCTGGGCCTGGCAGAGCAGTTCCTCCAGCTGCCCAAAGGAAGCTGCTGCTGCCACTTACGTAGATCATCCAGGCTGCGTAACGCTCTTTGAGGTTGTACAGCACAGCGGGTTCGTGGAGGTGGGTCATCATGGCCATGTCCTCGATTTTGTCGTACTTGGGAGGGTTCATGGAGAAGACTTGATCTTCCTTCACAGTCAGGGTCTGCCAAGGAAACAAAAGATCCACATTTGTCAACTGAAAACTCAGAATATGAATCAAATGTTGTCCTTCAGGCTTGTGTTTCACTCACCTCTCCCCCTTCAGTCTTGACAGTGACTTTCCCTGATTCCCTGCTCTGGATTGTACCTTTCACAAAGGATTCCTTTGCGTGTACCACAAAGACGGATGTCTTGGCATCGAAAGGCTTGTTCTGGGCTGCAATTCTCTCCTTTTCTGACTTTCGGAGGTAAGGAGCTGCCTCCCCAAAAACAGCCATCTCAGCATCTCCAGAGGCCATGGCTGCACTCTATTGAAAGCTTGTCAGCAGAGACGTCTGGGGGGAGAAAAAGAGTTGTAGATCACTGAGAAAAATAATATAATTTAGATCAGTGAGAAAGCTCCTTGCTCTTTAGCTAATAAATTGCTAACTAGTCTCCAAGGTTAACTCTTAAGAAGAAACCAATTAAATGCACTTTGACTTGAAGTTAAAAATATCTTAGTCTGACCCAAGAGTAAGACTTAGTCTTCTATAACATGTAGGTCTTGTAACAATAAATAGAACATCTTCTGAATATTGAGAACAGTTTGGTAACTCACCTTGATGAATTCTGACCACATTAAAATTTTTCACATAAAAGAATCTACAGCCAGAGAAAATCCCTCTCTGATCTGGTCCTTAATTAGAGTCTTCAGGAGAGTACTTTCTTGCTAAAAGAATTACCTTTTGTGTTAAAAATGAAAAAATTACTTCACTTTTTAGATCCCCCCTTTTTTCAATTATCTAGCCTAAGCAAATTCAGCAGCAATATAATAGGATTTATGAAGAGAACTCTTGCAGCTGTTTAAAAGCCCTGTCCTGTAGGGAATGGATTACTCAGTGTGTTACCTTTGGAGAAATCCTGGAATCTGGCCAACCCTGTAAAACAGGAATGGTGGTTGTTTCTTATTGTTGAACAGAATTCCAAAGAATAATTGTAGATTGAAAATACAGACATGCACTGAAATTACATTGAAAATTTTTGTTCACATGGGCACTCCCTCATGGAAATGGTTGCCAGAGGGAGGGGAAATGGAACAGAATATTTTAAGGATATTTTCCTCTTTCTTCAAGCTCACAAAATGCATGCACTTACCTTGAAGCCCTCTGTGGAGACAGGCTAGACGTGTCTCTGGAGATTTTATAGTGTCTTGTCTGCAGATGCTCTAGATGGTCCCCCTTTTTTCGGTCAAAACATTTCTGGCAAACCTTTTTTGGCAAAGCATTGTCTGGCAAACTAAGGGCATAATTGTGCCTTGATTTGAATGATATAATTAGAACATTTTTATATCTTACTGACTACGTGAATACATCTATAAATAATTCGTCAAGAGTGTTAAGGAGAGAATCTGGACTACTCACGGCACTTAGAGAACTTGCATGGTTCTATTGCTGCCTTTCTCAGTGATTTGCTCCTTGACCTGTGGTAGCTTCCTTGGTATGTTTTTCAGTCATGTAAGGGTGATGAGAACATCTGTGATGCTTTAGAAACACATGCATTGAGAGGAACAGGGAAAGTATGCCAAAACCCAGCAAATAATTGGTGTCAGGAGTCACTTTTCAGTGGTATTTTCTAAAAAGTAGGAGGTAAAAACATATTAGCTGGAAGGGTTTGAAATACAGTGAGTTGGAAGTCTGAACCCAAGTAATGGGAGACCCTACTTTGAAATGGAGCTCTTCAATAGATTCCTTAGCTGACTTTTGAGGAATCAAATGTTGCAAAGGAGTGGTTAGGGTTGCTTATAGAATCATCAACAAAGGTGGCTTAAAGGATCACCATCAAAGGCATTAGTAAAAGAGAGTTCAGTATAAATTTGCAAACGCACAGCAAAGTTTGATGGCAAGGTTTGCTCTATTACTTCCTATAAAGATCAAGGGAAATCATCTAAGAATCACTTTCAAATGATTTACACAACAACTGGAAATGCAAAGGATAAAGGTAAAAAAGGTAAGAAAGATCCTTCAAGTGACTCATGGGGCTCACAAAGGGCTCCCTTGCTTTCTAAACTCCTGATGGAATCCAGGTGCAGCTGAATCCAATCTTAATACCAGACCTGGTCAACAGTTTATGTCTAGAGGGTTTTAGCAGCACTTACTCGTTGACTAATTTAACATTTATAAAGTGATTCAATAGGATTTACTACAATTACAACAGTGACTTCATTATAAATCCCAAATGGCAACATTCAAACTACACTTGCACGAAGGTTGACCTTGAGGAGTGGAGGATATTGGTCCAGGTCACTGTTATGACCCACCCCAGAAGGGGAGGGTAACCCAGGTTTTTGTTAATAAATCCCTTGGGGTGGATTAGAGTGAAATAACACTGAATAATCGGTGTTTGTAAACATATATACGTAGGGTTTATTTTAGAACAATTTTGTTTCAAAAGTAAACAGCTATTTTGCTGTTCTGGGTGTTATCATCTATAGCAATAACTTATAGCAATATTGCAACATTACAGCATAGCAACATAGCACTATTAAAGTAGAAAGATAACACTTAAGGAAATGCATAAGGGAAAGAAAGGGAAAGAAAGCATAAAGGTGGAAAGATATACATGGTCACCACCCACTGGATCCAACAATGAAACATGGTAGTTGCAGCTTCCATGTCTGTTGCTCGAAGTGGTGGTCTTGATCTGTTGGAGTTGGGGGAAGCCCCCCCCAAAACTCAAAGATGTTATGAGTTATTATACACTTCTAGCTCAGGTGGGAAGACCTTGTACTTCCTCGGAGTGGGGACTTTTACAATGGATGTTGCCATGAGACATGTCACTGAGTCTCTGACATCTCCTAAGAGAGCTGCAGCTGCCCACTGTGTCAGCATCAGTCATGGTCCATCCTGGTCCAACATTTGAGATGCATAGCCCAGGCTGGATGCGCAGTTATCATGTAAAGGGAGGACATTGGCATGATAAAAGGTTCTCCCACCTTGCAGGACTTGCCTCTTCTTAGTCTCTTCCCTTATCTGGAAATACAGTTTGCAGCCTCAGGCAAGCATCTGCACCCCGGATAGCTGGACAATGGCATCCACTTATCCGATCTAAAGGTCCCTTGGCAGTATTCAGGGAGAAGTGGGCTTTGCTGGGTGACAAGCTGCTTCTTTTCAGTTTGCAAAAGTCTTTTGGTAATCTTAGAATGTGTAAGTCATTAACTGTTTCAGTCTCTGACAGCTGTGTCATCAGCTTTCGTGAATTTTTTGAAAATCAGGCCTCCAATTTTCACAAACTTGAGAGTTTGTGAGCTCTGAGAGGCCCCAGTCAGAGGGAGATGCTGCAGTCCAGGAGAGCCCAAAGGGCCTCACTTAGGACCACTGTGACCAGGGGCTTCAAGATGTTTGGGTTTAGTCATCCATAGATTTCCATCCTGACCACAATCCAGGTCAGGAATTACTGGAGCTTCCAAAACTCTAGTAACAATTCTACTGGAGTTACCAAAACTTCAGCAACAATGGTACCATTCCACTTGGGCTACAATTCAGGTAGGGAAAGTTCCAAGGCTTTAAGCAGGTGATTGATTATTCCCTCTCTCATCCTTCACCTTAGCCAGGCAACAGGAATTCCTGATATGGACAGTGGTGCTCCCACCTTTGCCATGCAAGGGTTCTTGATAGGGTCAAGGGACGCTCAGTACACAAACATCGAGGCTTTATGGGAATCCCTGAGATTGTAGAGCAGCCCTGAGGAGGAAGGGGGTATGCACTACCACATCAAAACAAAACATATACTTGTACGTGCATAGATAATATATGTATTTATGCAAATTTCATTTAAAAAGTGATTCCTCAAGAAACTTTGCTCTCTCTCACTGTTGACTGTCTTTCATTTTTTACTTGAAATTGATGCTTGCTTGCTCCCTTTATTGTCTGCATAAATAATGAGTTTCCTCAGTCAAATATGAAGTTCCAGTAGTTCCCATATCCCCTCTCTACCTGCAACTCCCCCAAAACCAGCATGCCTTTCCCTGCCATGCTTGTGCACACAATCACACTCATCACCTCAACATACAGTTCCAGCTACTATGCATTATGATAAATCCTCAGTCTTGCAGTGCCGTGCCATCAAAATAAGTGTATTTACACATTCACAGTCCCAGAAACACCCAACAACACAGGACTGTCTGTACCAGAGCAGTAGAGGCAGTAGGAAGTTGCAGGAAGTCTTGTGTAATGTTGATGGTGTGGGATAAAAGAGAGTTGCTCATAGTGCAAGCAACTAACTGATCTAGTACTGGTCTAGTTCTAGGAAAGGGTGTAATCACAGAATCATAGAATCAAAGAACTGTTTAGGTTGGAAAAGGGCAGTCCAACCATTAGTCCAGCATGGCCAAGTCCACCCCTAACCTTGTCCCCAAGTGCCACATCCACACTTGATCTACACTAATCACTTAAACTTCTTCCGATTCTCCAGATCTAAACACACTTTTCTTCTGGTCATTTGCATTTCAATCATTAAAATATCTCAGTGAATACCACAGCGAAGAGGGCAGAAAACCAGTGTCAGTGATCCAGTGCAATATACAGCATCAAGTGATTTTCTGTGCTGTAGGAGACCCTTCCAAGGGTGCTCTGGTACATTTTGGGCCCCAGATTGGAAGCCAAACCCAGAGCTCAGCCCTGAGAACACCACACAAGTTATGGGGACAGTTGAATATCTCATAAGGTTCATCTTTTCACATGGATTAGGAAGAAGAGTTGCCCATTACCAGAGGACTGATGTGGAAATTTTGAATTCTTGTCTAGTTAATATAGTAATGTGGAGAGCATGCAGCATCTGATTTATCATGTAACCTTCACAAAATAATTCTTCATACAGGAATAGGGACCTGCCAAATTTCTCTGTATCTTCAGCTGCCACTCACAGATCCTTGGAGAAAGACAAGTCACTCAGGAACATATACTGACCATGGTCTTGTCTTCCTTTTTTGGTTGAACGGTAGCCTCATACCAAACAGGTTGCACTCAAGAGAGGTGGAAATTATGAAGCTGGATTCCTTTCTTGCCATGTCCAGTACTGAAGTCTTGTGTAAAAACTTCTCCATGCTTATGCTGTTCGGGGAATTCAGGTTCCTCAAGTTTGCTGCTTCAGGCCCTTTACCAAGTGGCTCCTCCTTTCTTAGCAGCTGAGCTGTCAGGACAGAAATAACACCTGCAAATAAAAGGGGCTACTAGACTGCTAAAGCAACTAAGGTAACACACAGAGGAACCTCCAACTACTCCACACAGAATAGGCAAATGATATTTTGGGTTCTAGTACTCACTGTCAGTGAGTGTTGCATGAAATCACTAATTAGGGTGTAAAAGAAAAGCAGTGTTGACTTACCTGGTTCGAATACAGCTGTGGACATAGATGAAAATAAAGCTGTTTAAGAATTGATCTATGACAGTACACATAATACAGCATCCTTTGAAGGGTTAAAGTAACCCCCCAAATTCAATACGATTGTGTAGAAATAAGGTATCAAAGGACAGCAGTTCAGTTTTAGTAGACTAAAGACCACTTAATGACACTATTAAAAATTACCCGGGCAAAAGTCTGCCAATTATCAGAAAAGAACTAATAAAGGGTAGCAGTCACTTCATCATAGAAGCCAAACAGGTTGATCAAACATGATTACTTTTCCTGATAAATACCAAGAGGACACATCATCTTTCAAATAACTAAAGTGCAACTGAGCAGCTTACAGCTACCCTGGTACAGGTCCCTGCCTTTTTTAAAGGTGGGCGTAACAATAGCCTTTTCCCCCTCATCTGGGACCTTCCCTGGGAGTCATCATTTTTCACCAGTGGTAAACATAAGCCTTGCAGTTATGTGGGTGAATTCCTTCAGCAACCTTTGATGAGTCACAACCCAGCCCCATGGATGTGAATACATTCAGTTTCTCTTAGAAAGTTCAGCTTCACTAAGAAGCAAGGTCAGGACTTCCCCACTTTGATTGTCCCTTTCTTTCTCAAACTCTGTTGGAAGATGCTGACGTTGAGGGACAAATTTTGCCAATGAAGACTGACGCAGAAAAGGTGCTGCATACAAGTGCTTTTTGAATCATCTCTCACTAGGTGGTCACCCATATTCAGCATCAAACACACATTTTCTCTGAACTCCCTTCTGCATCATCCATGCAGAACTGTTATGCTCAATGTTTGAAGTACTCAAGCAATGTTTTATAGTCCTTATTTTGTTGCCAGTCCTTGCCTCCACCTCTTACATACTTTTGTGTTTTAATTCATCAAGAAGTTTGCTTAGCTAAGATCCAATTCCCAGTCCTCCTGCAGAACAAGATAGTTTGTTCCTGTGCTCTTCATAATTTTCCTTTAAACTCTAACCTCCTCTCCTGGCATTCTCTTTCACAGTTGCTGCCATGTGTGTGCTAACTGGCAGTTCCCTGAATGCAATGAATTCCAGTCTTACGAAGTCTAGAGTGCTAATTCTGTTGCTTATCTTCCCAGCTTTCCACTAGATCCTTCATCCAGTCATCATGTGTTTGCTGCAGCCTAAGCTGCCATCTGGGATCATATTTATCACTAGTTCATCCTTACTTCCAGCACTCAGCATTGCCTGGCCAGAATTTACGTTGGGATGTTGACATTAGCGCTGCCTAAGAATTTCTGGCATAACTTGCCTGGTGCTGTTGCCCTCACAGCAGATGTCCACATGGCTGAAAACCTCTCTAAGGCAGAGGAGACTTGTGACTTTCTACTAGTTGTAGAAATCATCCTCCACTGCTTTGTCTTGGTCAGGTGGTCCATGACAGACCCCATCACAACATCCCTCATTTTCCTCCCATCTTTGACAGAATGTTCTGCAGCCTCACATGGAGCATTGCACAAGCAAGGAGCACTTTGACATAAAGCATAAATCCTTCCCATTTCCACTGTCTATTCCTCCTAAACAGTCCCATGACCATGTTCCAGTAGTGCACACTATCCCACATTATCTCCATAATTCTGCTCGTGTTCCCCTTCTTCCTTGTAAAATTCCTACATTTGCAGCTATTCCTCTCTCACTTCTGAGCTTTTGTGCTTTTCCCATAACAAAACTGATTTCAGACCCTTGTCATCAGGTTTGTAGTCTCATTGGAAAGATTTCTTTCCTTCTTAGTCCTAAATACAGATGTCCAAAAATCTAGAGGAACTTACAGAACTTATAGTTTCCAAACATAGTGTTGAAACTCCTACTTAAAAATCCATTTAGATATCACAAGACTGCCCAGTGAGTAATGCAATGCCGTGGTATTGAAAGGGCTTATGGAGAAATCCAGGGAACTACAGTGCAGTGATGAGTGCACTGGACAAATATGTGCTGGGACCCAGAAACCTCCCATGCCCTGGGCTGATCCCACAGCGTGGGCAGCAGGGCAGGGGGGGATTCTGCCCCTCTGCCCCTCAGGTGAGACCCCCCTGCAGAGCTGCTCCAGCCCTGGGGAACAGCACAGGGAGCACATGGAGCTGCTGGAGAGAGTCCAGAGGAGGCACCAAGATGATCAGAGGGATGGAGCAGCTCTGCTGGGAGGACACGATGGGAGAACTGGGATTGTTCAGTATGGAGAAGAGAAGCTTTGGGGTGACTTAATTGTGGCCTTCCAGGACCTGAAGGGAACCTGCAAGAAGGATAGAGAGAGACTATTTACAAGGGAGTGACAGGACAAGGGGCTTCATGCTGACAGAGAGTAGGTTTAGATTAGATATTGGGAAGAAATTGTTCCCTGTGAGGGTGGGGAGGCCCTGGCACAGGTTGCCCAGAGAAGCTGTGGCTGCCCCATCCCTGGAAGTGTTCAAGGCCAGGTTGGATGGGGCTTGGAGCAACCTGGGACAGTGGAAGGTGTCCCTGCCCATGGTAGGGGGAGATGGAATGAGATGATCTTTAAGGTCCCTTCCAACCCAAACCATTCTATGATTCTATGATTCTTTGAAATCAGTAGAAATTATAACATAGAACAAAATTAATGAATACAGGGAAAAGTGACAGTCTTTCACATGTATTCAAAAGGGGAAGTCTCACTTCACAAACCTGTTTTCTCCTTTGAAGGCTGGATAAAGCACATAGATTTAACTATCAAGACTACACCTCTAATGCTAAATAAGTCTGTTCCTGAGTGTGATCTCTGGTATCAGGTGAAATGGTGTGAGTTACTTTGCAGTCAGCCCTCAGTGCTCCTGGCCACCAGAACAGCATCAGCATCAGCACCACACAACCCTTGGCTTGGGGCCCTGCTCTTTAGCCAAACCTACTTTCTCTTTCACTCCAAATAAACAATGGCATGGAGGGAAAAAACTGCAGCACTGGCATCTATGTGCACATGGTTCACACAAATGGAACATCAGCTGTCAGAGCAGCTTTCAAAGGGAAAACCCCTCACCCTCTGCACTAGACCCAGAGGGATTAGAAACTGAGAAAGAAACTGTGAGAAAATGGATAGAAAAGGACTGGAAGCCCAACATGGGAAGGTTGGAGAACTTCAGGGAGAAAACAAAACCTAAACTTTCACCCTTTTCCTCTAGATGGTATTCCTGGAAGATAAATATTATATTAATTCATATTTGTGGGCAAACTAACTTGAAGAATTTTCTTCCATGGATTTAAAATTCCTGATCATATGGACACTCAGATAAGGATCTTGTAAAAAGCTCTGGGGTACACACCAACTTTGGATTTGTTTTAATTCATAGAGATTATCAGTCTCACTGAAGTGATAAATTGCTGTCACATGGCCTATTGAGCATTCCAGGCTCTTGCAGAGAAATACTCTTTAATTTGAATTACCAGATCCAGACTCCATGAAGATTTAGCTCTACAGTTCTCACAGTTCCATGAGCTAGGCCGCAGAAAACCATCCAACTTCCTCTCTCCAACCATGGGGCAGCCAAGATGACACCTGTCCTTGGGAACAGGGATCTGTTGAAAGAGGCAGCAATGTCCTCATGCAAAACAAAGGGAGAAATGGATCCTGCCAGCCATTGACATTCTGCCACTTCTGTTTCAGGGCCTGGAGTCCAGTAGGACTAGAAGCAAACCACAGCACAGCCAGAAGGGGCAGAATCAGAGAAATCCCTGGATAAAGATGGTCCTGCACGGACATAAGGTGTGGGCAAAGTGCTGGTGTGATGACATCCAGGCATTCTGAAAACAGGTCCCATCCCACTTTCTGTAAGTCCCTACAATGTGATTTCCCTTCCCTTGTGTTCAGTGAGCATGAGCTGGGGAGTTCTGGGGAGAAGGAGGGGATCACATGAACACTGGTGAAGTGTGAAAGTGGAGCACTATCAAAGCTTTTGAGTTTGTGGCCCCATGGAAATCTCACTCTCTGATCTGCTTCTTAGAGCAGTAGCAGCAGCCTTGTAACTTGTCTAATTATAAAGAAAGTCCAAGACCAGTATCTCCATGTCATTGGCACAGAACCAACCACCTTCAGGCCTTCTGCTTAGGTCCTCCTTCCATCCTGGACCAAGCTGACCAGGACCTCCTGTCCAGTTGCAACACCAGAAAAAGAAGAATGAATGCAAGTCTCTATGCTCCTCTTCAGGCTCACTGGTCTTCTTTTCTGCCCAGAGAGAAACAAATAAAGCAAACACAGTTAGAATGTGGGAACCAACATGCAAAGTTCAAAAAGGCATCTTCATATTTGTAGGCAAACTAACTTGAGGAATTTGCTTCCACAGATTTAAAAATCCTGGTCATGTGGACACTCAGACAGGTATATTGCAAAAGTCTCTGGGCTGCACCTCAAATCCTGGGGGCAGTTCTGGGCCCCTCACTGCAAGAAATTCATTGAGGGGCTGGAGCGTGTCCAGGGAAGGGAACGGAGCTGGGAAGGGTCTGGCACACCAGGAGTGGTTGAAGGAGCTGGAGGGGACTCAGCCTGGAGAAAAGGAGGCTCAGGGGGGACCTTCTCACTCTCCACAACTCCCTGACAGGAGGGGGGAGTCGGGGGGGGGGGTTTGGGCTCTACTCCCAGGGAACAAGGGACAGGAGGAGCAGGAATGGCCTCAAATTGTGCCAGAGGAAGTTTAGGTTGGATATTGGGAAAATTTCTTCACTTGAAAGGGTTGTCCAGCCCTGGCACAGCTGCCCAGGGCAGGGGTGGAGTTCCCATCCTGGAGGGATTTAGAAGATGTGTGGGGACATGGTTTAGTGGCAGACTTGGCAGTGCTGGGGTAAAGGCTGAATGGAATGATGTTAGAGGTCTTTTCCAAACCATATGGAGACCTCACAACAGCTTCACATTTCTGAGAGCACAGGCAGCAGGGAAGAAATTATTCAGTTGGAGGAGCAATTGTTCTGATTTCTTTTCCTGCTTTTCCTTCTGCAGGCTCTTTCTCTTTAGGATGCTGAGACACCAGTGTCATCTCTTTCACTTTTCCTATGTCTGCTAAACTGTTTGGCATTATGTCCAGAATAGTGAAGGGCAGTCATTGCCAAGTCCTTCCCCTGCTTATCATTTAGTATTTGTGGGAATGTTTCAGAAAAGGATGTGATTTCAGCAAAGATTGCCTAAATTCACTTCTAATGGGAAATTAGTATTTAGTATCAGCGCCCTTATATTTTAGGGAAAGAAAAAAATTATTTTGTTCAGTGCCTTGATTCTATAGATTTAAAAACATGTATGGCAATGTGAGAACTAGCTATTGAAAATCATTTTCTGGTCTAATGTTTTTTCTTGCCAGACTCTGTAACTTATACAGAGCAGAGTAGTATCCCCCCAAAATAAATGGCAATATTTCAATTCCAGAATCAGGACATTAACATATAGCATTTTTATGTAAAAAAACCCCAACACCATCACCCCAAAACAGCAGAGGCTGGGCTAGTGACAGACCCTTTCCTGGGAAATACAAAAATCATGTGGGTTAGAACTACACTTATGATTCTTCCAGAAAGTGCAATGATGTAGGAAGGAGTCTGAAGTTTCCTGTCTTGCACATGATTTCCCCACTGCCAAAAAAAAGGATCTCAAATCCTTGCAGGGCTTTCTCTCAAGTGCTGTTGTTGGCCATGCTGTCGTTAGGGTAGGGCCTGCCTAGAGAGGTCAGTTTGCTCTGCAGCCTGTGATGGACGGTCTGACAGGGAACACTCAGCCCCTGCTGCAGCAGCTTTTCTGCTGCCTCTGTGTAAAATGAGAGCTGCCAGGAATGTTAGCACAGGGCAAGCAGAAATGTCAGAACAACACTCTGTAGCAACACTGCTCATCCCTGTACTTCTGCTAGGATGTGGTTGGACACTGAGCCCTGGAAATGGTAAGAGCACATTTTCCGTGTTAAAAGGTTATTTATCAATTCAGTGTTGCTCCATTAAGGTGCATGCTTTCAATATTATGTGAAGAATGTGCTCAGTCCATAATTTTGATGTGACATCTGGTTGGGAAATTTGCCACTGAACTAACGTTTCTGATAAATGTGGCTGAAGGAATGGGCTGAGAGCAATAGATGATTTCCGAGGAAAAACTACTGAGGACCATAACTAATGAGACAAAAGCTGCAGGTTGAAAAGCAATGTGGACCATTCATTCTTTACCATGGCAAATGTAAGCAAAAATTTCTGTGTCTAAGTGTGAGCACCTGTGAAGACACGCTGATGTCACAGGCTGGCCATGGAGGGGCTTTAATGGTCCTGCTGTCCCCTGTCCCTTCTGCTCTATTCAGAAATTAATTTCTGCAGATCTTAATGCAGCTGTGATTTACCCTCACTACAAGTCAAGGAAAGTGAATGCTCCTGTCCCAGGAGGAGTTTTAATGTTAAATTTGTTTCCTAAGGAGCTTTCCACAGACTGGTATTCTTGGAAGTCCTCAGAATGAGTTAACTGAACATGAGAGGCAAATAAACCCCATAATGTGGGATTAGAGGATGGGCAGCTTTCAAACGTGAACCACAGGTGCACATTACACACACTCCTCCTGTGTCCACAGCCAACAGCAGCAGAAGAGCTTGGAGCAGGAGATTCAGTCCAAGGAGATGACCCTTGGGATGCCCTTTCAATCCCCCACCAAAGGAGCTGAGGGGTTCCTGTTACAGAGCAGGTGAGTGGGATGGGCAGGCTGGAAGACAGCTGGGGAGAAAAAGGTAATTGAAGTAGCAAGTAACTGTAAAAGGAGGAAGGAAGGGGAATGAAAAGAAAGTAAGGAAGAAGCATAGTATTAACCCCTGCAGGAAACTGCATCATAATCTAAAATAGGCTGTGATTGTGAGATCAAAGGTCCACGTAGCCAAACCTTCTGTCTTTGAAAGTGATGGCCAGGAAGGAGCATCCAGATAGAATGGCACTTCTCCCAAACTCTCCCAACTTCCAGTAATTTGTGTTTATGGAGTCCCTGAGCAGAATGCAATGTCTGGGTATTTAACAGCTCATAGTGAATTTTAACTGCTGAATTTGTCCAAGCACTTTTTGAACTCATGAAGTGTTCTCTGAACACATGGCACGTTACTGTGATCCTCCACTGACTGAGACTAACCCAGAGAAAGCAAATATCCACATATGCAGTTCAATTCCCTTTGTTCTGATCCTTGACTGACTGTTACAAACTTACATGTTTTTTGCACTTCAGCCAAATTTGCATATGAAGCCACATATTTGAGGAAGTAAAAATAGTGATTAAACTGCAGAGAGATTTCCCAGGTGCCAAGGTAGACAGTGCTATAGTTAATCTGCAGGACATATACTACAAGTATAATATTTTCAAGGGCATTGTCTTTCCAACCACTGAGGCTCCTGTCACTTAAGAGATTCCACCACAGCTTCCTGTAACATTAGCAGATAGATTTCCTTGGTGGTCAGTCTAAACATTTCTTTGATTGCTCTCTGCATCCATCCTAGATGCCAAGGGGAGGATACAAATCCCTGCTCTTCCTGAAGGGCAAATCAGTTGTGTAAAGCAGAACAGCTCCAGCGGAAGACAATGACAATGACATTGTCATGACAACCCACAGCCAAGGTGCCAAGGAGTGGTGGCCCATGTGAGAGATCAGCAGCTGCAGATTCTAACAGTGCTTACATCTCCTGTCCTGAGGAGACAGGTGCTTACATCTCCTGTCCTGTCCTACTCACCCTACTAAAGTCTACCTGGGACAGACCTTTCTCTCCATGGGCTTATCACAAAGTACTTGGAAATACTTGAGTTTATCCCAAAACAAAGAAGTGAATGCCTTGTCCAAAGGAGGAGGGGACACTGGCCTGAGAAAACATATCCCAAATCTGCTGCAGCCAAAGATGCAATGCCAACTTCACTTCATCACCACTTAGCTGAGCAACACAAGCATTGCATTCCTCCAAAATCAGTTCCTCGGGTCCCTCAAAGTGCCCTTGCTCCCCGAGAAGTGCCTCCAGGCAGCCAGTATCTCTCAGGGTGCAAGGTCTCAGAGCAGAGCTGTGTCTTGACTGCACTGCAAAGACTGAGTTTCACCCATTAGTCCCCCAATGTGTGTATGGTGTCCTCAGTCCTATCTGTGTAAAAACTCTGAATTCAAGAGAACTAATACATGTAGAACTGGGAAAAAGAAATGAAGGACCTCTGTGTATGCCCTTTTCGTGGTTCTATGGCAGGTTCATTGGTAAATTCATGGTGAATTCAACTGTTGAGTTTACTTCCTCAACGTCTTTGTCAAGAAGTTTTTTTCCTTTAATACAGAATATTTTCAAAATACTGTGTAACTGGAACGGTCAGCTCAGGAGATGCAGATGCCCCTCTATAGCACAGGAGTTCGCAGGTCTGAGACGTGTGTTCTGTTGGAACACAGGCACTGCATCTATTTTAAACTTTCTCTCTGAGATGGTCGTTTATGGCCACTTTGGAGCTGTGTTTCCCCTGGGGTCAGTCAGCACTCAGCAGCTGCCAGGCAGCCCAACCCCACAGACAGTGTCAATGCCAAAGGTGTCATCCTCTAGGTATGGCAATAGGTATCCCAGAGGAAGGAACCTTTGCTTTCCCTCCCCTGGGAATGCTATTTGGATCTCAGAAATTTATCATAATTTATAGCCTCACCAGGTGAATATTAGTGTTAGTTCAGCATGAAAGAAAACCTGATATTGCTGGTTTTTCTCTATGTTCCAGATACTTGTGATATGTCTTAAGCTGACATATCACTAGAGTA